TCAGTATGTCTAAGGTATGGACACACAGACACACACACACAAACACGGTGGAAGCGCTGGGCAGACAGAACAGCTGAATAGGCTAACAGGTTATATATTGTACCCAAATAATACATTAGTTATCGAATTGGCTGCTCAATCACACATTAATCTATCCTAAATTTCAATCTGATTGAAAGGGGAGGTTATTCCTTTCATAATCCAATCGAGAGAAGAGAACATAAACACTTGATCGAATTGAAAACTGAAACTGAAAGCACTGCGTATATGTGCAATGATGTGCGGAACGAGCTCCATAGGCAGTAAACGAGCTCCCCCCGGCCCTGAATTGTCAAAAAACCAATCAAAATGCTGGCTGTGGATGCGAAAAACGCAGAAAATCGAACCTGATCCGAATTTTTTTAAGACGGACGAAAGTTTCGGAGGTGGTGTGCAAGCGTGATTGACATAACGTGAGGTCGAATTTTTTTTTTAACATGCGAAAATTTCGGATGTGAATTTCGGACTCGGTGTGCAATGGCCTTTACCCGTTACGTTTTTTTTGGGGGGGGGGGGGGGGGCGAAAAATTAAGTTTCCCCAATCTTCTCAAAACTCTGGATTCTGATAGAGGGCCATGAGACTTAGACCTGAGTGCAAAAATGGAGGCTCTAGACCCTTCCAGAGCTGAGATATATCAAAACTCAAAATTTCAACCCGAAAAAAAAAAAAAAAAAAAACCGACAGTGGTACCCCTTTCGTTTTTTTTTTTCGGGGTGAAAAATTAAGTTTCTCCAATCTTCTCAAAACTCTGGATTCTGATAGAGGGCCATGAGACTTAGACTTGAGTGTAAAAATGGAGGCGCTAGACCCTTCCCGAGCTGAGACATCAAAACTCAAAATTTCGACCCGAAAAAAAACGACAGTGGTACCCCTTTCGTTTTTTTTTTTTCAGGCGAGAAATTAAGTTTCTCCAATCTTCCCAAAACTCTAGATTCTGATAGAGGGCCATGAGACTTTCACCTGAGTGCAAAAATGGAGGCTCTAGACCCTTCCATAGCTGAGATATCAAATTTCAAAATTTCAACCCGGAAAAAAAAAAAACGACAGTGGTACCCCTTTCGTTTTTTTTTTCGGGCGAGAAATTAAGTTTCCCCAATCTTCTCAAAACTCTGGATTCTGATAGAGGGCCATGAGACTTAGACCTGAGTGCAAAAATGGAGGCTCTAGACCCTTCCAGAGCTGAGATATCGAAACTTAAAATTTCAACCCGAAAAAAAAAAACGACAGTGGTACTCCTTTCGGGGTTTTTTTTCGGGGTGAAAAATTAAGTTTCTCCAATCTTCTCAAAACTCTGGATTCTGATAGAGGGCCATGAGACTTAGACCTGAGTGCAAAAATGGAGGCGCTAGACCCGTCCCAAGCTGAGATATCGAAACTCAAAATTTCAACCCGAAAAAAAACGACAGTGGTACCCCTTTCGTTTTTTTTTTTTTCGGGCGAGAAATTAAGTTGACAGTGGTACCCCTTTCGTTTTTTTTTTTCTGTTAGAGGGCCATGAAACTTGGACCTGAGTGCAAAAATGGAAATCATTGTGAAAGTGAAAATCATTACTTATAGGAAGTGAATGACTTCACTTCACTTAGGAAATGACTTGACTTCACTTCACTTATTTTCACTCATAAGTAATGACTTATAGATCATTACTTATGAGTGAAAATCATTACTTAAAGGCCCTTTAAGTTGTTTTTAATATTGTGATTAATTCATGAAAATGATTACTTATAGCCCCTTTAAGTTGTTTTCAACATTGAGCATGCAGTCTCGAGCATGTGGGTTTGCTAAAAGATAGATCTGTTTCTTTTCAGACGATGATCTGAAGTGCTGATGGCGAGTTTATGGAGAGACGGAATTAATACTCATTTTAGCTGTTTTTCTATAAATTGCTTGTAAAAATGTCTTCTAAAATCAAAGATAGCATCACTAAATTGATTATGCATTAGTTCCTATTAAACAATCTGACAATTTTTGCGTCTGAAACATTTGTGTCCTGTTTTTATTTATAATCTACTGTTATTATCATTCATGAAAATGTCTGGATATTAAAAGAATAAACTACACCTCAGGGTGCATATTAGCTCTCTGATGCATGAATTAAATCACAGCAGAAAATCACAACCCAACCCACATTTCAAAGCACTTGATAGTTTTAGAAGTAGAACTGATAGGACATTGTGGATTAATTCATCTCGTCTTCTGGTTCAGCAACTGAAGTTTTAAACAAGATTTTATCGCCAACACATAAAAGCTGCTTTCAAACTTTTTGTTTACTGTTGTAACACCCAATGATATCTTGTACCACATCCCCCCTTGAGTCTTTAAAAGTAGCAGTCAAAACATTTCAAAACCACTCAGATTCTTGATCCTCTCTTCTTAGCGGCAAGAATTCATCTTTCAAAATGCCTGTTAACTTCAGTAATATCATGTTAGAATGCTAATTGTGAATATTCTCCTACTCCTGCCCACTAAAACGGTGTCAGTTTCACAGCGTTCCAGGAATTACCAAATAATTTGAGTAAACGATCCCAACAAATTGCATCAGCGAACAACTCACTTCAGAGACTGAAGTGTACAGTAAACCCCAAACAGTTCAATAAGTATTGCCTACATATTGCTCAAAGACTGAACTGATACGCACTCAAGTGTTTTTCTTCTCAAAGTTTGAATTCTAAAGAGATTGAAATTGTTTTCAGTTCTGCCATGCAGCAATTTAATGATAACCTTCATTTGAAAGGCAGTTTTCACATATTTGTTGAAATTATTATACGGCAAAATATAACTTTGAACCTAATGCAAACTTAAACATTACTTTTTTGGCCAGAACTTGGGTTATATGTAAATAGCTTTGACTGCACCACAGAAAAAAAACCCTTCCCCATTGTGTCCTACAAAAAAAATGTTAGTCACACAATCTAACATTTTGTTGCCGTTCACTTCTTTAAGTGTAAAGACTATTTTCACGCACTACCACCAGCAGCATATTGCACTTCTAAAATATGGCTATATGACATTTATTTCAAGGTTAATTTATGAAACAGTTATTCGGTGTGTTGAAGAATCAAAACAGTCTTACTGTAGTATATCTTAGCAGCAGCTTTTTAATTTAACATGCGACTCTTATCTGGTGTCATGAAAACAACACAGTTGCTATGATGCAAGACTTCTGCTTGTGTTGCATTGTTAATTACAGCAGTGAGGATCACTTGCCCTTTTACATCTGAAGTCCGAGTTTAGTTGTGACCTTTGGGTTGCGGTCTTTCCCGCAAGGGTGTGTTAGCATAGCTCATTATTAGGCAAATAAACACAAAAAAAAACCACTTGAAACAAGGAAAACTGTGACTGTATTCATGTTCAACATTTTACAACACTGTTTTCAGCTAGTTGTGTGATAGTACTCAGACATCATACACGCAAAATGAAGACTAATTATTCACGTTGATTTGAGATCTCTGTAGATTTCCGTTTGGTTACAGGAGAGGGCAGTTTTTTTACAGTGTCGTAAATGCTCGATAACATCGCTAACCACAAATAAACATTTTATTTCCCCCAAAACACACAAGGTTGGGCAGACTAGTTAAAAGCTTGCCTGTCAACATTGATAATACTTGAAGAGCTGCTCAACCCTTTGAATAGCTCCTTAAATTGTATTAAAGCAGTATCGGACTGATTTAAATAGGTCATCTTTTTAAAATTACAGTATGTGTCTGTTCACATTCTCCTAAAACAGTAAAACCCACTGTGTGGATCACATGAAATAATGGTGCGGTCACATTTACTGTTGTTTGCCAGATTTTCTATAGGAAACCACACAATCGGAATTTTCACTTGAGGGCGAAAGAATAGCTTGTTTTCATATGATGTCACGCCACTGCGTTGCCATGGCGCGAAATACAAATGAAGGGCAGGAAGTGATTTCCTGTATTTAGAAAGCACTATAACAAACTCAAAATGCCTGTGTTTTGAGTCATTTATGGCTACTTGAATCGATCAAACCACAAGGAGTTTTTATCGTGTACCAAAAGTTGTTGTTCATTAGGGGGGAAAATGCAAGAAATTGATTGAAAAACTCTGGAAAAACGGCTTCCAAACCTACGTCTGCGGTCGGAAGGAGCCGAATGGGAAAATGCCTGTGTGTAACATTAGTGTTCACTAGGGGTGTAACGGTACATGTATTCGTATTGAACCGTTTCGGTTCGAGGCTTCCGGTTCGGTACGCATACAAACCGAACGATTGCTTGGACCATTTTTCCTGCCGGCAAAATTCGTGCTGACGCGGCCAACACAACGTTGCGCAACATCAAATGGCAAGCGTAATGAAAGCAGAACTGCGCTACTCGTTATGTGCTTCATGGATCATTTATCAGTTCGGACCAGCAACATCTGTGCAGCGCGAGCCGATCTCCATCAAGCAACACTGTTACCACACAGCGCTAAGAGATCCGGTAAAGAAAACATTTGAATTCGCCAATAACATTGCTGCGAGATCTAGTGAGATGCATTCACATTTCTCCGTTATTAACCGTAGATCTCTATTAGATCAAACAGCGCTGTCATGGAAACCAGGAGAAACATTGTGCCGTGAATGAACTAGTAATACTTTGGTCCACAGACCAGCAACATTCACCATGGATTTAATATAGTAACACTAACTGGAACCAGTTTGGCTGGAATGGTGAAATGCTTTCAAGTACTTCACACATCTTTTTCCAGCACTTCAAAATTCAAATATTATATAAATAAATATATATTTAAATGTTATTTTTAATGTGATGACCAAAACATTATTTGTTCATCCTTCAAAGATGACCCCTATTTATAAACCTGAAAGTTTCAAGATCTAGGAAAACTCACACTTATTTAAAAATATTTTTTCTTTAAACAAATAGGAAATTTCTCTGGCATTTCTTTCTTTTTGCTGTATCGAAAACGTAGGTATGTACCGAACCGTGATTTTTGTGTACCGTTACACCCCTAGTGTTCACTTCGTCAAAGGTGAGTTAATTCAACTTAAGTGACTTTTTGTGTAATGTAACGTTTCCGAACTTTGTAAAGTCAAAGTATGTCTGTAAGACGAGGTAGTTGCTGATATCTACCGCCTCGATGCCAGGAAAATATTCCAATTCAGTTGAAAACGTAAGGATCACGTCCAACATATGTTTGATTTTTCGTTTATATCTTTCTCTTGTAATGGCGTGTAAAGTAGTACAGTACGGACTTTCATCCATCTCGTCCATTGCGCTCTTCACTCCCTGTCCTCCATCTGAATTCCGCGCGTCATCATAATCACGTGACTGAAACCCAGCTATTCCCCACAAAAAAATTCGCGATTCACGAATCTTCCACATTGACAAACAGAAAGCTGTTTGGTTTGAAAGCGTCTTTCGTGCGAGCTGTGCTTCGTACATTGCGACAACTACTGACAATTGACCTTTTTTAGTGAAATTTTGTTAATGTGACCACACCTCAAGCCTGTGATTCCAGCAATTTTTCACTAGTGTCACAGTTCAAATATTAACAGTGACAAATATGGGACAATATCAAGGCACTGCATGACTTGCATGATTATGATGTTTCGTTTTCTCTTGTTTGTGGCAATTATTCCAAACTCTCATAGGCTGGCAGTGATGGGAGATGGCTGCCTCCCTTGGGAGTCAAATCACAAGATCAAGTTGTCAGGACTTGGCAAATAGACTCTACTGTTGTTTGTGGTGTGTGTGCATGTGTTTGAGGTTCTGTCTCTAAAAGAATAAGATGGGAACACAGTGGGATACAGTTGGAGTCGCTGATGTCCCTCTACAATAAATATAGACTCCTGAGCTGGTAGGTGAGCTTTGGTGGATTAAGTCTTTGTTTCTGTGATACGGGATCTTTAAATGTGAATAGTATACTCTTGTAAATTTCATTTAAAATATCACTTAAACGTACGGCAGTATTCTCTCAAAATATTCTCTCGCGTCGGTCAATCCCATCGAATTTTTTAGCGCAATACTATTCCAGAATGGCTTGATGTCATTTGGCATTTTTCCCATTATGTTTGAAAGGAAAAAGAGTGGGACAAACGTTACAAATGAAAGTCTATTACATGTTTCTGCACATCCAGACAAGACAAACTGCAACTGAAAAATATCTCTGACGGCAAAAAGGCATTTTGGAAGATGGCGAGTGAGCCACCACCTGCAGGTTTGGTTCACCGGGTCTTTTCGTCTTCTAGAGCTCCCTTTTTCAATCCAGGCAGACGTGGAAAACCTCTGGTGGATACATAACATCTTCAGGAAACACGAGAAGAAGAGAAAAAAGGAAGTAGCAAAATAACGTTTTTCCTCTCGTTGGGAATAACAGGTATGGGTTATTTTAAAGTCTCCCTGCCGAACGGTTTCCGTTTTGACGTGCGGGTCAGTTTTTCTGTCAGTTCATGAACTGCGTGTAGCCCTCGGCACCCGTCACGATCACATCCATCCAGATCCTCATGGCCTCAGCGGAGGGGGCCACCATGAAATACAGTCTGTCGTGCGTCTTCACACAGAAGGTCAGGGAGGGGTTGGGGCTCTGCATTTAAAAAGACACAATCAGATCAGTGAGGGAGCGTGTCTTCTATTCAGGCAAGGCTTGTGCATTATCTGCCATTTATTCATTAGGGATGGCAAGGATTTTTGACTAAATAAAATGTAATTAATCATGCAAAGTGCATGTGGAGGACTTCAAATACTACAAGCACTATTTTAACTATAATTCACATAAATCTAAGAATAATAATAATATCGTTTTTGTTAATTAAATAAACAAGAAAAATTGTATATTTTTATTTTGATAAATGTATTTTTAATACATTTGTATTCAGTATGAATCCAATTTAATATAATAGTTTAATCATTTTCAAGTATTAATAATAGAATGTGTATGAATAATGCATATAACATTTCATTATGTGGATCACAAGTCATTTTATACTTTATAATACATGTAATAACTACAATAAAAATGTATTTAAAATATTTATTTTTAAATATAATTAAACAAATGTACTGATATTTAAAGTATCAGTATTTATTTAGAATTAACCAAATAGGTATAATTTAATTTAATTTACTAATTTTATAAGTATTGATGATAATTTGAAAGGATAAGTGGATTATATAATATTTCTGAATAATATAGTCATTTAAAAATATAAACATTTATTTATTTCATATGATATTACACATTTTGAACTTAAGTTTGTATTTATTGTAGTAAAACTGGTCCTGTTTTCGAATGTCTTTTGAATGTTTTTACCTTCATGCTCTCGGCACTCAATAATTCAACAAAGCTTGTTCATCTCGATGGACGTGAACCTGCATGTAATGTAGTGTTGATTGTATTTTCTTTAACCTTATTTAGTTTTGCTCATGGTTTTCGAGGATGAGATCATGTCACATTCACGCTGGCATATACCTAATTTGGCTGTTTCTATCAAGTGACAGATAAATTGGCACCAAAATGCTGCAGTATTTGATAGGACACACTGCCTTTGACCCAGTTGTTTAATTTATTTTACAGCTTATCATCCCATTGTATTCTAACACACTATTATGCCATTGGTGCTCCTGATTACTTTGGGCCTGTTTTTAAAGCCAAAGCTGCTTGTATGTGTACGTCTTCATGCAGGACAAGCAACAGCTGCACTCAGATACGTGTTCACTGATCTCTCTTGAGCTCAAATGGAGTCATTGAAAGTAAGTCATACCACTTAATTAATAATCATTAGCATCTCTAATTTCAACACATCTGCATAAGTAGAGTAGGAGGTGCTTTTTAAAATATGATAATTAGTTCTCCTCACCAAAACACTCATTATTAAAGTGAATTTTAGACCATATTACATCATTTAGTAGGCAAATAAATCTATTCAAATGACAAAGGGATTCTGATGCACATTTCCACCACAGAATAATAAGGTAACTGCGACTTTTTAAATATCTCAAAATTCAGACTTTTTTTTTGCAATTGCAAGTTTATATCTCACAATTTGGACTATATAACTGACAATTGCGATTTGAACTCAGATTTTATAAACTCGCGATTGCATAAAGATAAAATCACAATCCTGATTTTTTTGCTCACATTTGCAAGTTTATATCTCACTATTCTGACTTTATAGCTAACAATTGCTAGTCAGATTTGCGAGATATAAAGACATTTGGGAAAAAAAGTCAGAATTGGGAGATAAAATGTTGCAATTACTTAATTATTTGCATGTTTATATCTTACAATTCTGACTTTATAACTCTGACTGCGAGTCAGATTTGAAAGTTATAAACTTGGAATTTCGAGAAAAAATTTAGAACTATGAGATAGTCAAAGGCAAGTTTAGATTTCAAAATTCAGACTTTATAACTTGCAAGTCAGAATTGTGAAATTAAAACCCATAATTGCGATAAAAAAAGTCTTGCGAGGTAAAGACTTTGTGAGATATAAACTCGCAGTTCTATAAATTCTGATAGGAAAAAAAGTCAAAATTACGAGATATAAAATTACAGCTGTGAGACAAAAAGTCTGAATTGTGAAATAAAAAAATGGCAATTAGATTATGGCTTCCAGTTAATGCCAGTCAACCAATCACAATATGCAACATGAAGCTGATGGTGTATAATATACAACACAACTGCTTCAGTGAGGTTATTACATTATATACACACATATTATCTCATCACAAGTGGGAGTAGCAGAGAAACACTTAAGGGAAACGCACAGGTTGTAAATTACATTATACTCTCATCCTCAGTAACTATGCAAAAAAACAAATATCCACTTTAAATACAGGCCTCAGTTAAAGTGGAAATAGTTCAGTTATTTAAAGCAACACAACAAGGGATGCGTTAAGTGTGTGAAAAATGCAAGAATTAGAGCAATTTTTCCTTTGAGCAAACATGCAGGATAGGGCGATAGTGGTGGAGAAGTGATACGTACGTTTGTCAAATTCAGATTGAAAAATCCTTTCTGTGAAAACAGTCGGCAAAGCAAAAGAATGAAGAAAAAGAAGGGTGGGGAACATTGACAGCAGAGTTACAGCATAAGAGACAAAAAAAGAGAGGAAAGAAGCTAACAGAAAAAGATCAAATGAAATGGTGCAATAGGAGTGCAGAGCAGAAAACCAGCGGGAGATGTGAGCTGTGCTTATGCGAGGGTCTGATCGAGGGCCGTACCTTCGTGGCACTTCGCAGGTGATCGTAGTAAACCTCCTCGATAGCCTGGAAGTAGATGACGCCCTTCAGTTTGCTCTCATGTTTATCTGTGAACGGGACAACAGAGATGTCACGCTGCGAAAAATCGTTCTCTTAATAAGAATTTTATTGCAATGTCTCCGTCTAAAGTGTGTTTTTAATATCAAAACCAGATACATTAACCCAAAAAGCAAAAGCGAATGAGAACATCTCGGAAAAAAAACAAGCCTTTCCAAGTATTTTTACTGGAAAACAAGGCAAAACTACTGATTAGCACAAATGTTTTGCACAGCGAAGGTTTCCAAACCAAATAAGCCCCCACTCCCCTCGAGAATAATGATCTGGTAAGCACCGATGTGACCTTGTTACTGCAGTGCAACCCCTTCATTTTCAGTCCGCGTAAAAAAATAAAGAGCGAGAGCTCACGCTTTGCCGAGCGCCACGACTGGATGATGAGCACGATTTCCTCAGCATTGCGGCAGATTTCATCACCATCAGATAGCATGCGGACGGGCTTCTGGTTATTTGTATGCCCCTAGCTAACCCGAGGCTATCGGAAATCATGGCAGCCACTGTGAGCTTAAGAATTACTAATTATCCGTATCCCCCCACTGCTGGATTCACCCACAATCCACTCTTTGTTCTGCCCTCGTTTCTTTCCCCAACCTCAGGGGGACCAAAGCGTAACGACACGTTTGCGGAGTTGCATTAGCATAGTGCACAGTAAGGAGGATGCTGGGAGGCGACGCTGCGGTACACATACCCGCGTAGTAGGAAAACGTCCTTTTAAGGCGATCAAAGACGAACCAGCGCTTCTTCCAGGATTTGATCTTCCCTCCCATCTTGACAAGATAGCCCTTGCACATCTTTTCGGTGAGAATCACGTGGTAGCACGTGTCCACGCTGTGACCTGAGGACTCGATGTGGGAGCGGAGGTCAAACTCCTCTTTGCGAATGGGAAGGTATCGTGTCATTGGACGGGCCTGGAAATCAACAAGAAGGGGTTCATATTTTTGTTATAAGGATTAAGTTCATTTCAACATTTACTAATACATCATTAAAATCAAAGTTGTATTTGTTCAAATTAGCTAATGCACTGTGAACCAACACAAAAATACAATGAATGACAATTTGTATTAACTACCATAAACAATGATTAATACATACAGTAATAAATGTATTGCTAATTGTTAGTTCACATTAATTGATACATTATTGTTAGATGTTGCCAGTTAATTTATTAAAAAACACAGTTTTTAATAAGGAACATGCTTTTAATTTTCTGAATTAAAATTATTTTTGATATTTTTGGGTTTGGCATGAGGTAAAAAAAATTCAAGGTGATAGAAGAGTCCTGATATCACTTTTATTTATTGTTTTAAATCACAATTACATGACAAGAAAATTGTAGTTAGTAACATTAAAACATTATCCTTTACATTACACATTTTAGCTAATATAACCTGACTTGATTCATTTTAGACCCAACTTATTTATCACATTGAATAGGAAAATATTGTACCATATTGGTGTAAAAATAAAAAGAGGGGGAAAAAATTCCATTCGGCATTAAACATTACATTACGTCAGTTCGAGATTCGAAACTGGGGTTCGAGATTTAATGATAATAATAAATTAATAAGAATCACAAAAGCCTTCTAAAGACATAGCAATACATGGTTAAATGACTAACTGATTGATAATTCAAATAATAGTTTATTGTGCTCATCAGGAGTTGATTCGATATGTAAAGTTGCAAAAACACTTCTTAAAAGTGAAATGATATCTGTAAATCCAGTGGTCAAATGTTTGTGGCCTCCCAAATGTCTGGTCTGTGTGTGCAAATTCACATAACCAGAATACTTTGTAAATGTAGATGTATATTTTGATATGTTTTTAGAAAGGAAAATGTAAAACATGAAAAAGAAGAATAAGGAAAAAAAAAAATCAATAAATTATGAAATATTTTACTGCCATAGTGTGAATAATATGCAGTTATGTAAGCAATAAAAAGCATCTGTAGTTTGATTACAATAATTTAAAAATGTAATAAAATCTAACTACAAGTACTTCATTTTTTGGAATGTAATCATGTAACATGTAATCATGTAATCAGTTACTACCCAGTAAGGTAGACAAGGTACAATTGCACAAACAAAATGCAGAAACAGACCCTCATGGTAACTATCTAGGTCAATATCATTTTGTCTTGTGGTGGACTATTATGTAAGCCTAATTACTAATGAAAATGATTAATTATTGTCTGTGTACACTCATGTACAGTGAACGAAAATGTTTTATTTTTTAACTTGCCTAATAACCTAATTATAATTAAGTGCACAAAATGTCAGTCCTAGTAGAATCCCACTAAACTCTCGGCAGAGTAGAGAGCTGCGGCTCCTCACCTGAGAGAAGTTTTTGGCCCTCATCTTCACCTCCTTCTCTATCAGCTGCTGTCTGTGTACCGTCTCCTCCTGCAGTCTCTTCTCCGCCACCTCCCTTCTTCTTCTCTCTTCCTCTAGCATGAGTTTACGGGTCTGAGTCTCTCGTTCCTGCGGGCCAAAAGAGGACAGTTATTATTAGACATGACTGAGAGTCAATATTGTTAGTTGATAGTGACTGCATACAGATGCCACGACTCACTCTGGACTCGATGAGTCGAGCTTTCTCCAGGTGTGCCTCCTTCAACATCTTCTCCATCTCTTCGATCTTCAGCGCATCCATACCACTGGCACTGTGAAACACATAAAACTTCAGTCAAAGTCTCCATCAACTACACTGAGGGGGGAATTCGCTATACATGTTTCAACCAAGACAGCCAGCCATTTAAATAGCCGTTGCGCAACCGTTCAGTGAATTTACCCCTCGGTCATCTCTTTGGTGAATGATGGAATTGAGACCAGTAGCAGTAAGACTGGTGGATTACGAAACATTTCGTCATGAAAATACAGCTGGATTGCAAGCATCTGCCGCGAAACATTAAATGAAGCACATGTGGACTATAAACACAGAAAAAGAAAATGTGTAGTGGATTTCTCTTGAGAAGAATTCCAGACTCACTTGAAGTTTCATAAAGACAAGAGTAAACAAACACCTCGAGAACATTTCAAGTAAACAGATTCTCTCCTGAGAGAGAAACAGCTGAAGGCCGTCTGTTTGCAAAGCTGTAGTGCCCCGGTCCAGCTCCACTGCACTTTACAGGCGTTTGCTTACAACATCTTCACACATTTCCCATGATAAAGCTTGAAAACTTGAGACAATCTGTCCGCGTCCAACTGGGTTGTGGGCCGTTCAGAAGTGATTTGAGAATGCCTTTGAAAGTCAGGTATGACTATAAAAAAGTACACTTAAAATGGAATTACATCAAAGAAATTCATGTTACGGCTATATTTGTAGGCTTTTTAATAAAATACCGTTGAAAAGTTCGGGGTCAGTACGTTTTTTTTTTTTTATAAATAAATACTTTTATTCCTTGATGGTAAATACATTAATATAGATGGTATGGGGTGGTGATGGCACAGTGGATAAGACACATGCCTTTGGTGTGAGAGACCCAGGTTCGAATCCACTGTGAGACACCAATGTGTCCTTGAGCAAGACACTTAACCCCTAGTTGCTCCAGATGCGTGCGTCGTGCGACCTCTGAGATTTATAGCAATTGTAAGTCACTTTGGATAAAAACACATTTACATTTATTCATTAAAGGGCACCTATTATGCCCCTTTTTACAAGATGTAATATTGGTCTCGGTTGTCCCCAGAATGTATTCATGAAGTTTCAGCTCAAAATACCCATAGTTAATTTATTATAACAATTTGAAAATGTCATTTTGGGGAACATATATGCGGTTTTTAATACAATATCTTTAAAAATATATATATTTATAAATGTGTGGTTACACACTATAAAAACAAGGTTTAAATTATATACACTGACATTCTACGACGACAACAATTTTAGACGCTTTTGTTGTTGAATTGGCTGACATCGACTGAAAAGACTATTTGCTCAAAAATCATAAAACACACTTACTGTTACTGGAGGTGACGGTGGATCGCAAACAGTAGACCACTATCCACACTTGAGGATTAACTTTTAAGCCACAACAACAGGATTAACCCACGAGTCGATAAGTTATGTTTCCAAGAGACATTACCTAGGCTGTCGTTGAAACAATGGAGGATGATGTGTACAGATCACCGAGGGCAGGGTCTAGGCCACAGCCACACTGTCAATCAAACCCCTTGTTCACTTTCTACGTCACAAAGAGCTGGATCTCAGAACAGCTCGTTCTGAGGCAGTGCAGATGATTTATTGAGATTGTAAAAAAAACCACTGGGTGGATTTTTATCATTCCAGGGTGGTTTTGCTCACACACTGCCAACACACATTTATGTTCAAACACCATGTAAAAGTGAATTTTCCATAATAGGTGCCCTTTAAGTCAGCTAAATGAATAAAAGTAAATGTAAATGGTATGCATTGACATCAATTTCCTGCCGGACTGAGCAGTAGCACCTCATTGCAGTACACAAGATGCAGGGGGCGGAGTCGGATCCAGATTTGAGGGGTGGAGTTGGGTAGGATTAGGGATCAGGGGGTGGAGCTAAGTAGGTTTAGGTGTATGTAAGGTGGGAGGAGTTGGATCTGGATCTGACTCCTCCTAATGGATTTCATGTTCTGCAGTGAGGACCATCTCGGACTGAGTGGCAAAACATCCCGCAGCATGACTAGTTTTAAATAGAGGAAACTGAAAAAATGGGAGTAAAATAAACAATCATCTTCTTAAATTAAAGGCAGCTGAACTCGACAGTGTTCCTCACAACTCACCAAAGAACCAGTTGTCCATGGACATTGACAAGTTACCAGGAACCGGGTTTCCTAACGTTTATATGCATCTGATTTAGACGCAGAGGAAATAAATAAACTAAAGCCTGTGAATGCTTTATATGCAAGACAAAACTATCTAAACTTGCTTTGTAAGGAAAAAATAGGTTTACACTATCCTTATAGAACACAAGGACCATCATAATGGATGTTTTTTTTTTAATAAACACTGACAAAAACCTGGTAAATATTTAATTGAGTTGTCAATACAATACAGCCTATGACCTAGGGTAAGATTTTATCCCAAAATTCAACAAATCTCTGACACAAAACAGTAACTGCAAAAACACGTTTCACAGCCACAGTATATAGTTTCTGTAAATTGCAGCGATCCATTTGCTTCTTTCCTGTAGCTTTCAGCAGTCTGTAAAAGACAGCTCTGATTTCTTGTTGAATCTATTTGTAGTCGATCGCACAGTTTTCGATCGCACTTTTCCATTTTAGATGTGTTTTGTGTGTGTTATTCGTGGCATTCGCAAAATGCTGCCACTCGCTCTTTTTGCTCCACAGTGAGCAGTGACTACCTCCTACGGTGACATCTATTATTAGAAAATTATTTCTATTTCAAACAAATGCTGATCAGCATGAATAAATATTAAATTAGAAAATGGTTATTTTAAATTACTACACATATCACAATATTACAGTTATTTTTGATTAAATAAATGAAGTCTTGGTGAGTAGAAGATAATATTTTGACCCAAATCTTTCAACAGTAGATTACATTTCTTTTTTCAGTATTTTCTGAATTACCCATAAATGTTACAAAACATATACATTAATCATTAATATTAATGTAAATTATCAATGAATTAGCTTTTAAATCAATTGTATATACTGTATATGCATATTCATGCATTTCATTAGATTGAAAAAATTAATTTTTATTTTCTAAACCCTGATGCACTTCATCCCCAACATTTCATAGAACACTCTAATTTACCCTAAAGTCTTCAAAATGGAGACAAACAACACAAAGCAGACTTGCCTTATTAATTATGCATTTTTTTGTGAAGAAGAAATCTGTAATGCGACTACTGACTACTGATTTTTTTGGAATTTCAATTAGAGCATTCGTTTTCCTGTCATTCCAAGTCAAATTGCTTTCTAACACCCTCTGCGGCATGACCAATTCCCTTCAAATCACACTCATGAACTGAATTCTGAATTTCTCTCAACCTTGGAGTCACGTGTCAGTGTTTGCACCTCATAAATTGTTGGTTTTCCAACCAATTAAAACCTTATTTGCTTTCTCAATTGGCTAATCTGTTATTTATACATTTCCGATTCTGATGAAAGTGTAGCAGGACACGTTGTTGCCATCTCTGTATGTGCAGAGAGGGAACTGATGAAGAGCAGAGAGAAAAAAAAGAGGGAGTTCATTGATGACAGGAAGGGTGGTTAAGCAACAAACAGTAAAACCTCAGGCATGTGTTTATGGAAGACAGCTTTTCAGTTGTTGACGTTCTATGTGTGCTCTGACTGTCCCTGTTAAGTGGAAACTGACAAGACGACTGTTTCCACACACCCCGTTCAACCCAGCAACAACCTACAAGCTTAAAGACGCGTCTTCACGAAGTTCCGTTTAACCCAGCAACAACATAATCTGTAGCCTTAGGCATCAAAGTCGTTCATTTGTTCTTTCCTTTTCGCAAGAAAGTGGGCGGGATGAAGCACGGTCGCTGCATTATGATTCATGGCTTCCCTACACACTGAGCTATTACATTTACATCCATGTGAATGTATTAAAAATATACATTATTTTACACATTTTCACATGGATGTAATGTGATATAAATTTATAATAATACATGCTACTGTTCAAAATATTTTGTGTGAAAGAAATGAATAATTTTATTCTTCAAAAGGCTTTTTTAATTTATCAAGTGACAGTTAAAACTAAGATTTCGGTTTCAAACTTTAAACTTTTTCCTCCCAGGAATAAAATAGATTTTAACATATATTAAAATTAAAATAGACAAAATAAATTCAAATATAAAATGTATGACTGCTTTAACTGTATTTTTTTAACGAATAAATGCAGCTTTTATGAGCATAAGAGACCAAAAAAATGTAAAAAAAAATCTCACTGACCTCACCTCAAATTTGTGAACAATAGTGTAAATTATAATTTTATATAAACTATAATATTTATATACAATAAAAATATAGTATTATTTCTACTTAAATTAATATAATTTGTCTACTCAAAACCCTCACAATTACTGATAAATGCAGTTTAAAACAAAAAATTAAACTGATTTTATATAATCTTTAATAATAAAATTAAATAAAAATGCTCATAAATGTGATTCATATACGCTTCCAATGATTTAGAGTCTCAATTTGAAGAGTACTCACTAAAAGTCACTAAGCAGATGGTTGATCATTTATCTTGGGACAGGCATGTAGAGAAAAGCCACAGGACCGCCACAAGTTCCTGTCACAGAGCCATTGGCTAAGCGTTCTGAGAAAATGATTTAGGAAAGCACATTAAAAAGTCGAACCTGGACATATTGTCAGGAGAGCAGGCGGAGTTGTTTCCAGTGGAGATGCTTGTGTCCATGCTGTCCGAGCTCTCCAGGCTGAGGGTGTCGTACGGTTGTTCCCCAGAAGAGGGCGCTGTGTGGTGCAGGATGGAGTGGTGCATGACTGGCCCGGTGGAGGTTGAGGAAAAGGGAATGTTGAGATGTGTTTGAGAGCCATGGAGCGCCTCCCACTGGCACTGGGCCTCTACTGCAGCTTTCTGCTTCAGTTCGGCCAAACGTCTCCGCTGCTCATCAATAACCTGCTGACCTGATGGAGAAAACACACATATATGAGAGGCAGACCTACAGACTAGATAGAACAAGAAGTGCCCAAAACTGAACAAATTAAGCATTTTATAGGTAAAAAAAAAAACTGCCAAACCTTCTTTTAGACTTTACGATGGCACAGTTTGCCCACAATTTGCTCCGGCACAGTTTGCCCACAATTTGCTCCATCATGCCTCACACATACACATATAAAATATGCAACGCATGTGTGCCGAATAAAAAGCCTAAGCAATGCCTCTGATTCAAGATCCCTTTGTACACTACCAGTCAAAAGCTTAAACACATCTACTCATAATCTATTACATTTTAGAATACTGAAGTCATCAAAATAAATATATCATTGTGTCATCAAAATGTAATATTTTTTTACAAATTAAAAATTATATGGATACAATTAAAATAACTAATATTAAAGGATAAAGTATATAAATATAATATAAAGTGAACTGAATTTGTTAACGTTTTTGCAGTTACTATCAAAGCTACTATCTATATCAAAGCATTTTAATTTATTCTATCAAGTTAATTTATTAAGGTAAATAAATTAAGGTTTTTGATGAAAACATTCCAGGATTTTCTCCATATAATGGACTTCAATGGGAACCAAACTCTTAAAAATTAAAATTAACAAATCTTTCTGACACGTTTGTTCAAACACTATATACAATTTTCAACACTTGACAAGCTATTATCCTGGTTATGGGCGTTCCGTTGCCGACAATCTCTGCCTACGGTTTACCAATAAAAACTAACTGGGTCATTTGACCAATCGCCGCAGATTCGCGTCGCTCAAAGGAGGTGTTTGGGAAAATGAATCGTCGAACGAATCATTTGGGAGTCGTTGAGCAAATCAGTTAAAAATAAATGCATATTATAAGACAAATAAAGTGATTTTTATCCTTGCATGCACATTAAACTGTTTTTGGGAACCCCTAAAACTAAAATAGGAACATTTCAAATGCTATGATAGGGGCTCTTTAAATGAGTGATCGTTTTGCTTGATAAGACCCTTATTCATCGTCTGAAATAATTTAAAGCCCTTGAACAGTTTGGTTCCCATTGAAGCCCATTATATGGAGAAAAATCCTGGAATATTTTTATCAAAAATCTTAATTTCTTTTCGACTTAAGAAAGAATGACATGGACATCTTGGATGACATGGGGGTGAGTAAATTATCAGCAAAAGTGTTTTTAAAAATGTATTATCTGTTTGATTAGGGAATTTTGTAGTAACCACATTTTTTTTAAATAAAATAAAACGTTTTGATATGGAAATTATGTAGTAATTGCAAAAAAGTTCACAAATTCAGTTAACTTTTGACTAGCAGTGCAGCTTTCAAAAGTGCATGAAACCATTTATCTATACTATAGATTACCACTGATATCATCCTCCAATCCATGCACGGTTAATCCCTTACATAAGTCTAAAGAATGCCATCAGCGGACAAAAAAAAACATTAGGGGTAAAAGAATATTTGAACACTGTCAAACCCATTTCAATGGGGGGAGGACGTGCACCAAATGTTGGGTTAGAAATTGAGGATGATGATTATGATGAACGGCAGTCCAATGCTACTACCTGTGGGACCGTCCGTACTGGAAGAGGACGCAAACATGGAGGGAAAGAATTCTGTTTGAGGGCAAGGTTAAAACAAAACCAAAGAAGAGAACAAAAGAAGAGATGGATAAATTGGCATCCCATGGTCACTATTATTATGAGAGGAAGAAAATCATGTTGGACATTTTTTTTAAAAAGCATGCGGGTTTAGAACAACATGAGGGTGAGTAAATAATGATATTTTCAGGTTGAAGTATTTCTTGAAGTTTGACGGCTCATCAGTTGTTTGTATCAGCTGTCAAGCTGTTGTTCTCATTACCTTTCTGCTGAAGAGCCAGCTGCCTCTTGGCCTCAATGTCCTGCAGGGTGGCTGCCAGGTTGCGTGGGAGACTCCCGGTGCTGTTGGCAACCATCAGAGGACTCTGGGTAAACAAAACAAACAATTATTTCCACCAGCATATTTAACAATAAGGAGGGGACTAAATTGCCACATTAAATGATGCAAGAGATTCTGATAACTTGAGAGTAAATGCACTATTTACCCTGGCTTGAGTGTTGCGTCCCAGCGTAGCCGAAGTGTAAGTAGGGGACAGACCAGCGCTGATTTTCGGTCTCGGCGACGATTGGCTGGTATCACTGTCCAGTCGAGAGCGGTACACCTGAAGGGCCAGAAAAACTTGACGTGAGTTGAAGTGATGCTTTTTTAAGATACCAAACAGAGTAAATGTGTAGTTCAACACAAAATTCGGTCTTCATTCACTCATTGCAAGTCTGAATGTAAGATTTAACAAGACAAACAATTCGTTATATGGTTTAAGTATTATATAGCACACATTCTGCAAAAATTGAACTACTGTAGAATAAATGAAGTGAACTTGAGTGAACTTCACCTTTAAAATTCGATTTTTTTTTATATCAACATTATTAAAATGATAAACAGGACTGCTTTTTTATAAGAAATGCATACTTTTATTCAGGAAATATGCATTAAATGAATCAAGTGACAGCATAGACATTTCAAATGTTACAAAAGATTTATAAGATATTATATATTTATATTGAAATCCTTAAAAAAAATAAGGAAAATAAAGTAGGCTATCACAGTTTCCACAAAAATATTAAGCGGCACAACTGTATTCAACATTGCTAATAATAAGAATTGTTTCTTAAGCAGCAAATCGGCATATTTCTGAAGGATCATGTGAAACTGAAGACTGAAGTAATGATGCTGAAAATACAACATAGGAATAAATTGTATAAAAAGTATAAAACAGTTGTTTTAAACTGTAATATTTAATATTACATTTCGATTACACAATATTAATGTTTTCACTGTATTTTGGATCAAATAAATCCAGCTTTTAAACATTAAAACATTTTAACAGTAGTGTATAGTTTAGCACACTTCACTGAACAATCAATCAACTAGCAAAATACATGACCAGTAAAAAGTCTTGTTTGTAATTTAAAATGTTTAATTCTCTCATCATTCACTAACTCTCATATCTTTGAAAACATGGGGTGCGTTTCCGGCACAATGGCATAACTCGCTGCTTAACCACAATGGAAATATGTATCGTTGGAGAAATTAACTTGACTGTTTCCCGAAATCATTATAACTTCATTCTGCATCCGTCGTTTAATTGGTTCAACTATAGTTAATATGAGGTCACGCAGGTGGTGGATTAAAAATGTCTCCTAGTTAATCAGCTCGAGATCAAATTAATGTTTGATTATTGCTGTAAATAGTGATCGTGGCATCTGAAGTCTGCTTTGCAATTTTTGTTCTCCATTGATTTGCTTTATTTCCAGATCAATCACGTTCCCTCTTACATCACTCTTACACATCGTTGTGCTGTTCGCAAATGTGGAACTATGGTTTCAAAACACAAAATCATTGGATTATGCTGATAACAGCAAAACTTGCGACCATAGTTGGCTAACAATGCTGTTAGGAAACGTACCCCAGAATTATGTTTTTTTTTTTTTTTCATGATGCACAAAGGGAGTTATTAAGCAGAATGTTCAAGCTCCTCTTTTCCATACAATCAAAGTGAATGGTGATCAAATCTGTCAAGCAAGATTTTAAACGCATAATGACTTAACATAAACAGTCTGTTCCTCAAAGTGATTACATAGTGCGAGACCATTTTTATGTTTTTGATTTTTGAACCTTGATTGCTTCTGGTCCCCAATACCAGAAGAGAGCAGCTCGGACATTCTGCTAAACTTCTCCTTTTGTGTTCCATTGAAGAAATGTTCAGGTTTGTAACAACACGAGGTTGTGTAAAAATATATAAATAATCGACATAATAGTACAGGGGTCCCCAATCCTGTTCCTGGAGATTTAGTTCAGATCCAATCCTGATCCAACACTCTTGTCTATTTTTATTAGCAAAGCCACTTGAAGGCAAGCCTGCAACCTTAGCTGCCAAAAAAGCATAACGCCTGCTAACGTTGAGGTACGCAGGGAAGGAGACAAGAGGCCGTTTTTTAAAAATGTGTCAAGAGGAGAGGCTTCACTAGGCTGAATATCTGCTAATTTTCAAAATGTTTGTTCTTAAACATTCGTTTTGGATTGGTCTATTTTTAGAGTTTACACCGAAAAAAAAGAAGAAGAAGCTATTTTATAAGATAAGTCACAGACAATTTTGCTACGGTACTTCTCATTCATTTCTATGGTATCCACAAACAGTGACTGATTGTCACACGAAATTCAATGGCGTCAAGGCTGTCATGTGATTGGTTATCAAGACGCACGTAATCCAAATTAGCCGTTATGCTTTCTCCAATGACAGAGCCATAGACCCTCATTTCTCGCAATAATAAGACAATCTCTGTCCTGAAGATCATATTTAGCAGGTTTATTTGGGTTTAATCAAGGTTGGAGCTGAACTTTGCAGGAGAGTAAATCTCCAGGAACAGGTGCAATAGCGCCAACCCAAACAACAGAAGATGGCAGAAAAAACCTTGAGATGATGAACAGCCAAAAGCCAAAACAAACAAAATAACATGGAACTCACAAAAAAAAAAAAACTTACTTGGACATATAGTGAGGCCTATGAAGATGAAAATGTGGAAGAAGAGCAGAAGAAGGTGAATGACAGCTGAGCTTTTGGCTGTTACCTGCACAGGCTTGCGTGATGACAAAGCTTTAGCCGGGAGGGGAGGAGGGCAGAGCTGGTTTACATTTCCAGCTGCCATAACCTCCTGGTACCAGCGATCTAAATCTAGAGCGGGCATCTGAGGCCTTCCCCAGTCCGACTGACGCTTTACACACGCAGCACATCCATTAGTATGAGTCACAGAGCATGAGCAGGAGAGAGAAAGATGGGACGGTGGAATGCCAGAGAGAGAAAGAGAAGAGTGTTAATGAGCAACTGAATGATTTGTACAGTGACAGAATGACACAGGTAGTTGGCGATACCCAGCTCTAGGAATCGAACGAGAGAGAACAGAGGAGAAAAGACACACCTCAAAGGAGAGAGTGAGGGAGGAGCCATGAGGGGAGGGGAGGCAGGAGAAGGCGGAGTCTGCGAGAGAAGGATGAAGTAATTGGATGGGTGAGGTAGGGGAAGACTCCACCTTCGGCATCCCATAGATCTGGTTTAATTGGCCCACGGTCACATACTCCTGAAATTCAGGAGTGACAAACGGACACAGGTAGGAGGAAAAGACAGGAATTAGCAGAGCAGGAAAGAGAAGACAACGTGTTATGGAGAGTTTAGCATCTGTAGAGAATGTATATAAGTAACTAGAATACATGATTAACAAAGTTATTCAGTTCCCTATTTCTCAATAAATAAACATCATCCATTATACCGTGTCCTAACCAGCTGCAATATGTTCGTTTATTTGTTCACAGTGAAAATGAAAACAGCTAATTAGAACATAATTTGATGTTTATTATACAGTTATGTGGAGTGAGATTTCAATCAATGGGATTTCACTATGAGCAGAACTATCTAACAATGTTACAGAAACAGAAAAATGAATGACAAAATGCAGCTGCTTAGGACAAAACCTAACATCTAAGAGATCACCTTATAGCAACATGCCTAAAGATTAATCAGATACTTGGTCATTCTATAAAGCAGGTGGCATTTATGTCCCTTTATTTATTTTATTTATCTGTTTCCAACTTGCAAATTTTAATGAAAGCAAAAATATATTCTACCTTTATTATTTATATGCATGTATTTTCCTTGAAATTGTATGAAAATTATATCCAAATCTAGTACTATTTATATACTATTATAGTTTTTTTAACTATACTATAACCACATTTTCACTATTATATTATTCATATTAATTGTACTTAATTTTGTAATTCTGTAATTGAGAATTTGACATTTTCATAAGCTTCTTTTTTAAAACATCACCGTTTATGTTCATTTTATTTTGAGTTTTTTAGTTCAATTTTAAAATTACATGTCAAGCTAGCAATTTTGCTCCAAAGAATAGGTGTAATTTATTTCTGCTTTATTTTAATTAACAAAAATGTTTTTAATAGTTTTAGTTAATGACAATAATCTGAATTTATATTCTATTAAAATACTATATATTCGCTTTATATAGCTTGAGATGGCGTAGTGTCATTTTTTGCACACATTATTTGTCAGAATGTTTATGATAAATTATCTTCTCAAAATGGAAAGAGCACCCGATTCAAAGCATGATCCTACTATAATGCTTGGTGATGGTCATGTATATGATATATAGCAGCATCTACAACCCAATAGTAAGTAGCACTAAAGGAAAAAGAGAGGGGAAAAGGTGAAAAGAGAGAAGCAGAAAGAAGAGAGCAGCTATGATACCTCACGGGGGGCAGTTACAGCTGGGTCAAGGGCAAGCGAGAGGCCATGTGAGGAAGCGTTGGCGAGCTGGATGTCATGGCAATCACTCCCATACATCTTATAAACATCCGACAGCTTCAAGTACTCCTGAGACACGTTAACAGCCAACCCATTCACGCAGGACAGAAGTTCAGCTGTCAGTTTATTTATTCACATCCAAACCCCATAAGAGCAGTTCTGTCATATTCATACAACTACAGTGACACTAACAACTAACAACGTCATGCCTCCATCTAACTCTTAAGATTTACAAATTACAAGTTAGCCCGACTACAGTCAAAATTGTTTGAAAATGATACTTTGAGTTTACTCAGTTTACTCAGCAAACTCTTAACAAAAATTAGCTAACTGATTTATAAGTGAGTTGGCTACACACAAAATCAATCAACCCCGTTCAAAGTGTGATTTGCCTTTGCCTCCAAACTTGAGATCCCAACAAGTCAAGTGTTCTCAATAATGCAACACAAATTGAGATATTTTGTACTGCCATGTTCTCAAAGCATGTATTAGTCAATATTGTCAGTTTTTAATGCGCCAGGTTGCATGCACTGACTGTTAGTTTAGTTACCTCCTGAGGCATGATGGGATATGAGTGGAATGAGGATGCATGAAAGGGGGAGGAGGAGGAGGAGGGCTGGTCATCGTCTAAGAGGTCAGCCTCGCTGATGTGAAGCACATCCTGGGCGGAGGTTTATAAGTCAAACAATATCCTGAGTCTAAAAGATTTCATTTCCTGTTTTGCTAACCCAATTATTACGGGTTGGGCACATGGGATCCATATGCTATCCGGAACATATTGCTAAAAAGCTAAACCTTATAGCTTTCCTAGCCCAAGAAACCCAAACTACAAAGGTCACTAAGGTGAATTGCAACATGTCTTGCAAAGAAACACATGGGTCTACATGAACCATTTTAGGGTAACATGGTGGGATCATACACAGGAATAGCTCAACAACATTTTTGACTTATTTCAAGCAGAGGAGTAGATATTCAGCAGTTATTTATTGTAGCCTTGTGTAACAAGCACATGATTACAATCCTGCTTACCTCCTTTATAGTGTTTGAGCTTTTGGGGAATGTCTTTCCACCAGTTAGGCTCAGATATCTTTTCTCCAGACTGGCCAGCCTTTCCTTTTCCTAAAACACAGATTCCAAATCAATCAGTTCAAAAAAGGTACCACAGAGCAGCAAATCAGCACATTAAAATGATTTATGGAAGATCATGTGAAACGGATTTCCATTACACGAGTAGCTTTTGGTGAAATTTGGTGCTAGTCCTCAACTCTAAGTGTTCCTAAATTGGGGAAGAACATTAAAAGTGTACATTAAAATTAATTTCCATTTCCTGTACCTTCTGTAGCAACTGAAAGGTGATGCTTCTGTCCTTGACCAGCCTCTCACACTCCTGAGCAGCTTGTATTCCCAGCTGACTGGCCTGGCTTTCCAACGCTGCAACCTTGTCCTGGAAGCAACAATTTGGACAAGAGTTTGAGATGCTCTTGGTGGTTCCATGCATTGTTATATGCGTGTATGCTATTTACCTTTCTTTTGGCTACACTGCTGTGGTACTGGGCTCTGTCCTGCAGCAGCTGCTGGCTGATGGTCTCACGCTCCTCCTCTAGACTGCTCTCCTTCTCTAACTGCTGGAACTCCAGGTCCTCAAACTGCTTTGTCGCAGCCTCAAGAGTCTCAGCTTCCTACACACACATGCATCCAAGCATGGGGTCAAATAACCAATCAAAGCATGACATTAACGACAGCACTGAGCAACTTCCGCAGCAGCCAAGCTGAGTCAGTTTAAAGGGATGAAAATTCTGACATCACTTACTCAGTTTTTCTTCTTCTGTTGAACACAAAAGAAGATATTTTTAAAAAAAGTTGGTAAACAGACGGTTGACGGAAGCCATTGACATCCATACAAGAAAAACATATAGTATGGAAGTCAATGGGTGCGGTCAACTGTCTGGGTACTAACATTCCAACACTCTCACGACCAATTCGTACGAATTCGACGCATGATTAAAAAGTGTCTAATTCGTACGACCTCACTCGTACTAATTCGTACGATTTGTCTAAACCCACGTGATGGTTAGGTTTAGGGGCGGGGTCAGGGGTAGGTAATTCGTACGAATTCATACGAATTGGCCAATTCGTAAAATATGTACGCTTTAGCAGTACGAGTGAGGTCATATGAATTGTTACGAATTAGCCACTTTTTAATCATTCGTCGAATTCCTACAACTTGGTCGTGAGATCGGGTTGAACATTCTTTAAAATAACTTATTTTGTATTTCACAGAAGAAAGAAACTCATACAGGTTTGGAAAAACAAGTGGGTGAGTAAGCGATGACAAAATTTATTTATTTTTTGGGCGAACTATCCCTTTAGGAAGCCACTGGGAGGAACTGACTGGAACGTTATGCTACGGGGATGTCAATCTTATCTAGCCCATCTAATTGTTAATTATTTTATTCAAAATATTAATTAATTTTATTTTAACACTATGAAATATAGAGAATATTGCAACACATTATATATGCTTTACATGTATATTTAATTTCAAACTTTCTGCACTAACTATTCCCAGGGGTCCAGTTGAAAAACTTTGTGCCACACACAGATCTATGTGGAATAATACACTCTTCCAGAATCCTTCAAGATCTACCATATCATATTATCCAACTGAAATCCAAGTACATCAAATCAAATTTGATGACTCTGGAAAATGAGGAATATCTATGAGACGACTTATTTCAGAATATAAATGAATCTCATGAAAGGCAACACAATCTGTTTATAATGTAGGGAAGTCTTGTCATTTCTATATACAAATCTCAAGGACATTGGCAAGCCCTTGCTGTCAATTCATCATAGCGTTTCTGACATTGTAAGGCTTGAATGCTCAGTGCACAAATGACATCTCTTCTCTCTCGTGCAACCCTTGGGATATTTCCGTTTGCAAAAAGGGCTAGTCATCAAAACCACTGCCCAAGCACTGTCAGAAGAGATTCCTTTACTCATGCTAATCAAAAGGAAAATAAGAGATAAGACATTTCTTCATATTTCAAACAAAAATGTCTTGCTTTGAATTTGACCGTCTTTTTACACAAATCAAATCAAAAACAATTTTGGCAAAAGTATCAATCTGTGTGGTATATAAAGAGAGAAGTGCATGATTTTCTCCAAGACAAGTTTAACGCTAACTCCACCCTAAGCAATTCAAAAGATTGGATTGGTCATGCAATCACAGTGCTGCTGTGCTGATTCCCTATATCATACTGAAACAAATACTAAACCCTGGCCCTATCCTAACCCTTTACCCTCTCTGATCTAATCCATCCATTATTTTTTCTGAAATCTGAACTCGCTTTGACAGGTGACTGCGTGATTGCATTGACCAATGAAATCGTCTGTGGGGCGGATTTTGCGCTTAACTGGATTGGGGGAAAAATCATGTGAGAGGTGTCAAAACAACACTATAGCACTATGTTAGTTTCTGCATTAATAGATTAGTACAAAGTTAAATGGTATTATAACTTTGAAACCAGACAGTAGCATTAATAAACCTCAATAATACACCCCAAAGCATGCAAAGTTCTCAACATTTGATTTCACCACTGAACACGAGTTTATTTCCCAAAAAAAAAAAAAAAAAAAAATCTAGACCCTTTCTTCAGTGCACTAAACTAAAGCAGACAAGATTTAAACATGGTGTTCCCAGTGACAATAATTTGTAATAATAATAAACGTGGAATAATATTTCTGCTGGGATCATCATGATGGATTTGGTGCATAGACAGCCCAATAGAACTTAGTTGTGTATCTGGAAGGTGGGGTTTATGAAGCCAGGGTTGTGGGGCGGAAGCAGTTGGTAAAGTGCTGATGTTCCTGACAGTCACTGACCCTCTTGAGTTGTTCCTGTAACTGCTCCCTCAGAGACTCAGGGCAGTTATGGAGCTGGCTCTTCAACTCATTGTACCCATCCTGAAGCCTCTCCAGGGCTTCCCGCTCCACGTCAACATTAGCCCTCTCCTAGAAAGAAAACACACCATCCGGAAAGGGAGAGAAAGAGAACACAGCTCAAATCCACGCCATGCAGAAGCGTCCGAGGTTAGAGGTCACAACAGAGTGGGTGGAGCCAGAAAGGATGAACACTAAGCCTTATAAAACACTATGAACTACATGACACTGGACTTTAGGCCATCTACAGGGCCAAACAGACTTCTGTTCTCAGGCATTTCTTGATCAAAGATTTCAGATGTAATGAATTTCTGCTGGTATGTGCTGTTATTATGCCATACCAAAGGGCAGGAAATAGCTGGCTAGTTTGAAGCTGGCTTTTTTTCTTTCTTTTATCATAAAAAGAAAGATTTGCAATAGCATCATACTTGATACTTCATATATATATATATATATATATATTTTTAAAGTTAGTCCTGAGATAGTTCCATGTCTACATATGCTGAGATACTCTAATGCACATTGAATTCATGCAATTGTGCTCTCTTCCAGACCAAAATGAGCACAATTAAAGCACGTAAAAAAAAAATCAATACATCAAAGCACAGACAGAACAACATTCTGTTTAAAGAAAAGCCATTTTCAAGGTTTTTTAGGGGAATTATCCATGTTTACACGAACACTGCACAGATCGATTGAGGTCAAAATCAATCTAGTACAAATTACAGCCGGTCAGTGACTGGACTGGTAACATGAGCTTTGGTGACAGCCATCCCCATGAGGAGAAAAAGGTTTAAACTCAAAGCAAACAAATTTATAAATAAGGCCGGAATGGACAATGGACCAATCCAGATTGATGCAGAGTCTTTGAATAAACTTAAAAATAATAACAATAATAAACTTATAATTCTTTGAATTATATCAAGAGAAATTCTTAGTTCACTCAATAATGGAAATTGTTTGCTCGCCCGATCATCTCATTTCAAACCCATTTGAGCTTTTTTTTCCCTTCTGTGGAACACAAAAGGAGAATTTTTCAACTGATTTGTTCAAAAATTAGCCTGAATCAGCTTTATATACAACTTACAACTCTAAATTAGAAATTAATTTTTGGCCTGTCTGTCTGTCTGTCAAACAAACCTATCATATTACTTGGGATATACCTTTTTTTTAAAACCTGAGCTTCGGTTCCCATTCACTGTAATTGCATGGAAAATAACAAAAAGAAGTTTGTTCAAAAGTTCCTTTTGCATTCCACAGACAGAAAGTCATACAAAAGTCATATTGACTGAATTAAACATTTTTGGGTGAACTATCACTTTAAACATTTCTCCAAGAGCCTAATACTTGGCAGAATTGAAAAATACTAAAATACCCAGAGAAACCCAGAACAAGATGAATGGAAGAAATAAAGGCTGGATTTCCAAAACATGCAGGAAAAGGCTTTCTAAAAGACAAACATTGTCAGTCACCGAGTCTCGCACCACTGGAGCTATTGTCCCTCAAAGCCAGTGCGCTAATCCCAAAGCCTGGGTTTGCGCTAAGCTAAACAGTTTTGAACTCGAGGGGGCGAGCACTAGAAACGGAGAGACTGTGAGTGCAGAAAAAAAAGCAGTGAGGAGATTAGAGGTTAATGAAGGCTTGTTAGTGTTGCCAAGCTTTGTAGAGGACCTGATGAGAACCACCACAAAAGAAGAGGAAAAAGACAATACCTCTTGTGAATGAATGCTTGATAACCAAACAGTACCTTGGTTTTCTGCCCAAACTAAACCAGTGAACTGCATTTAAATGTGACTATCATCTTCAGATCCTCTATTGTAGAATGACCAGATATAATGGGAAGAGGTTCGGCTAGTTTGGATGGGCAATGTCGCGCTTTGTTTTGTTTTTTACCTTGGGATGGCAATCGAGACCAGAATGGGCCTTGAGTGGCCATCCGGCAGAATGGCATGCCTTTAAGGAATGTCAGAGACCAGAAAGGGCTGTTCAGTCCAGAGAGGCTCAACAGTAAAAACAAAAACACAGTCCAGACGGGGATTTGAAACTCTTCACTTCACAATTAAGGTGCGGTCACAAATTACGTGGGCAAAACAAGGTCGATTGTCCATTGTCAATGGTGTAGATGTATGAAGCACCACTCATTAAGAAATCAGCTCAAGCAGCTCTCTGTTGAATTCATGGGACAAACTTGCAAAATCTGCAAAACTTGCAGATTCCTATTCTTATTACTGGAAAATTTGCAGAACAATAATAAATATGACCGCACCTTTATATCTAAATGACAAATGAATGTATATCCTGCTGAAAAATATAGCATTGCTGGTCACCGGCTTAAGGTTTATGTTTTACATGCTGGGAACAAAATAGATTGCTGGTTTGCTGTTTACCAGCATGGGAAGCAGGAGTGCTGATGATAGCTAGACCAGCTCTATACTAGCCTGGAACAACATTCAAGCTGGATTATGCTGGATTTTTCAGCAAGGTACAGTAAATTATGGATATGTGTGCTTGTATGTGGTGTGAGGGTCCTACTTTGTCTTTTTCTCTCTGGATACTGTTCTCCAGTTCGCTGAGTTTGCGTTGCAGCTGGTTGATAATCTCAGTCTCGGCCTCGATTTGCTCCAGCTCGGCCTGTCTCTCTCCCTGAAGCAGAGCTCTCTCCATCTCCGCCTGTCCAGATCAACACGTCAGATAGAGCAATTCTCACAAAGTCCCCATTAACACACCCTAGAGATCCATCTGACATTCTCTGTTCCACCACGCATCACTTCCTGCTCCACTATAATTAGGACTTCCTGTATATTTTTCAGTGTATTTAACCAGCAATACAGAAGTTTATGAGAACGGTTCACCTCCTGTTTGGACTCCTGAAGTTGCTGCTCCAGTTCTGTGATTCGACCTTTGAGTTCATCTACCTTTGCCAGCACTCGAACCCGCTCCTCCTCCAGGTACCCCAGTTCCAGACGGCCAATGCTGCCCGATCCCAAAGAGTCCTCTGCCTAAATACACATCACACTCAGTTTATGTGATTTACTGTTTAGGTACACCATCATTCAGTTTGGGGTCAGTAAGAATTGTTTGTTTTTGAAAGAATTATCTTATGCTCATCAAGGCTGTGTTAATTGATCAAAACTACAGTGAAATATTATTACAATTTAAAATAACTGTTTTCTATTTAAACACATTTTAAATTAAAGGCCACTAACAATATCATCAATTTACTGGTATTTGTGCCATTATTTACAGCCCAAATGACGCATGTCTTAAACCAGACACTAATTTGCACATACAAAACACATAGAGTGACACAATAATACATCAACTGCTCTGATATAAATAAGGAAATAGAGTCCGACCTGTCCATTTTGCCCATTTAGCAGAACTGGTAGGGTCCGTCGGTCCTGTTGAGCACTCTCAGTGCTACTGCTGTCCTCCTTCAGGTTCTCCTCTTGGCTTTCACAATGTCTCTGCGCCACCTTCAGCGAAGCGCTGCTCACACTGTCCATGGAAGGACGTCTGTTAAGCCCTTCCCTCGAGCCGAGCCCAGAGACGCCCATCCTGCCCAGATCTCCCGCCGGCCCGTCACCCTTGTTATACTCGGCGCATAGGTTCAAGATTGTCTCCAGCCGCTGCCGTTCCTAAAACACAAGAGAGAGCAACATAAGATGAGTCAGGGGTGGCAAAAATTGCCCTCACGTTATCTAATTTCCTCTGCGCCAGCCTCTGGCACTCAGCATCCAAGTTACTGATGCCAATCTGAAGAGTGAGGAGAGGAAATAAACAGAAGCGCCACTGTCTGGAGCGACTGTTATCAGGCCCTGTCTTCAGCACATACAAACACTCAGAGCAATGCGCTTGTCAGAACAGGCCCTCACTTACAGCAGACATGGACACAACTATGCAACTACACAGATCTTACGTCGTGTCAGCCTGGGGGGTCTGAATGTGGTAACAGCTGCCCTCTTAAGCCAGTCGAGCCCACCTCAAAGACACATTCTCTGTGTGACCTTTGGCCATTGCATGACATTTGCTCTAGACCGAGTATGGTATCCGTCTGTATGGCTCTCAAATGGAAAGAATGAACTTTTCACGTTTTCAGGATAAATGCTTGCCAGGTTTGCTGTAATGTATTGTGTGGTTATAAGGCATGTAAAAATGCTGTTTAGGTCCTAAAAATACAATTTATTGATGCAATTGCAGCATATTATTACTGTGCAACCAGTTAGCGATGATTGAATGGCTGACAATGAATATTTGAATACTTGGCTGCCTATAAAATGTTTATTATCTCTAGGACAGGGATAACAAATTTTGTCCTATGACTTAAATGATTAAATAACGAAATAAATATTTGTTTGCAATGCTAATCAGCATAGAAATATCTTGAATTGTACATCTTCATGTATTTACAAATTATGTTTTTTTTTTGTTTTAATTTTATACAATACCGTTCAAAAGTTAAGGGTTTGTTTTTTGGGGGGAAATTAAATGTTATTTGTATTAATCAAGGGTGCATTCAATTGATCAAATGTGACAGTAAAGACCTTTATAATGTTACAAAAGACTACTATTTCCAACAAATAACTTTATATTAATTATAAAAACCTGAAAAGTGTTCCATAAAAAAATAAATAGGAATAAATTGCAATTTAAATATATTAAATAGGAAATAGCTATTTCAATTTCCAGTATTATTTCACAATATTATTGTTTACAAGTGTATACAATATTATAAATGCAGCCTTATTGAGTATATAGTGTACATTTAAAAAGACATTAATTTACATGAAATCTCTTGGGAGCCAGTCCACAACAAACCCCCACCTAGAAAACCCCTGCTGCAGGACTTGAAATAATTGCAGATGTTTAGATCTACACTAGAAAAGGAAGATAAACAAAAAGAGGAAGGCTGGTATTCCAGAAGGTTGTGTGTGCTCTCTTTGATGTCCTCTAGAGACTCGATGAGCTCAGTGTGATTTGTGGAGTACTGTGATGAGTATTCTCCAAACCCTTAATTAGTCCAACCTGTAATCATCAGCCCACTAAATCTCCAAGATCACACTGAGAGGAGGAACATAGCAGAGAATCAGTTCAGACTGTTCCCATGGCTCTTTCCCATCAACGCTACTTAAAGCTGCAGTCCGTAACTTTTGGCGCTCTAACAGTTAATCAACAAAACTGTATTGCGGAAGAACATTGTAGCCAGAATTACTTCTCGCTGTTTATGTCTATGACGAGTCACGCAGGTACTGGGCTACTCTGCAGTAGTGCAACCCGAACCAGTTTAAAATAATTATATATAAATACTTATTATAGGTGAACCGTAGTGATTCAGGATAAGTCAAAAACACGGTTTGGAAAATGGATCTATGATGTACTTGCTCATTATATTATTTTTTTTTTTTTGTAAATTTTGAACACAAAAAAGTTATGGACTGCAGCTTTAAGTAGAATTATACTTTTATATGCATATTCAATGTGTGCATGCATATATATATATATATATATGAAGAGTTCAGATGCAAAAGCCTCTAAATGCCATTTGAAATTTTCTTCTTTAATGATGATTTTTTATCAAACTTGTATATTTAAGTTCAGTAATTTCACTTAAATAACAATTAATAGGTAATTATCATTGCCATTTAAGTGAAATCACTGAACTTAAATATACAAGCTTGATAAAAATGATAATTCTAGAAGAAAATTTCAAATGGCACTTAGAGGCTTTTGAATCTGAACTCTTCATATATATATATATATATATATATATATAATTAATATATGTACACACTGTAAAAAAAATTCAAGATTTGTTATCACAACATTTCTTCTTTTATCAAATCAACTTAGATAATTTATGTAGTTCAGATAACATAATATTTTGAGTTTCTGATGATTAAATCAATCTCCATTGCATTAACTCAAATTTTCAATTTCAACGAACTTAAAATTTTAAGGCAACCAGGTTACTTATTTCTTTAAGTTAAACCAACAATATTTTTTTTACAGTGCAGTAGTATGCAAAAGTCAAAAGTAGAGGTCTGGAAAAAATTAAGAGACCACTGCCAAATCAGCAGTTGCTCTGAATTTATTATTTATGTTTTTTTTTGTTTTTTTTTAATTAATATTTTTGACATCTCTAAACTACAGCCAACATTTACTCCAAATTTCAAACACAAATTAGCATTTATTTGCAGAAAATGACAACTAGACCTCAAATAATGCAAAGAAAACAAGTAAACAACAAAATACTGTTTTAATCTAAGAAGAGGTCAGAAATCAATATTTGGTGAAATAATCCTGATTTAAAATCACAGCTTTCATGCATCTTAGCATGCTCCCCATCAATCGGTCACATTGCCGTTGGGCGACTTTATGCCACTCCTGGCAAAGAAAAAAAAAAATTCATTTGACTTAAACGGACACATATAAACTGCAAATTTTTGTCTCTTCATTTTTTTTCCAGAGCTGTGCACACATGATTGAATATACATTTTTGAGCCAATGTGTTTGGTTTAAACTAGGCTCAGAGAGACCATTGAAACTGATTAACTGTGACAGGAGAACTTTCAATCACTTATCAGAATCACATCAACATGTCTTCACCTGACAGGACTGTCTCCTCCAGAAAATTACACATCTGAATTACGAAAAGCTTTCATTCCTCAGGCTTCCCCGGCCCGCTCTGTAACATCCCAGAGACCCTTCTAATACCAAAGGGGTGATATCACAGAAAACTACTCGTCAACTACAATTTGCACCAGTAATTGCTGTATACAATAACAGCTAATTATCTCCACTTCACGCCACTCCACTAAAGCCAAGAGCAACATCACCCATTTTAGAGATTTTTGAACACAGAGGCTTTCACTTAAGACCAGGACTACAGTAGACCCCAATGTGCACAACACTCATTTATGAGTTTAAAGGGTCCTCTTTAGTTGTCATCATTAGCAGGGTCCCCCAGGCGAAGGAAATAGTTTAAGATCATGGTGGCACACCCTGAGTTTTAAAAGCGCTCTGAAACACACAGAGGCTGTAGGAACCGTAGGAGGGAATATAATCATTTGATGTGTTTCCATACAGGCCTGCTAAGCCTCTGATCCCAGAGTTTATAGCCCAGCTTCATGAGTGTTTCCAATCAAAACTGGGGCTACCTGAACACTTCTAAAGCAATATCCGGTTTAATTGCGCTGTAAAGGAGCACAAATTCAACACATGAAGGAATCTGTTTAAGCCCTGGTCACAACACATATGACTGAATAACAACAGACTACTGAATATGCATGCACACTGACTGAATATGCCAGTTTAATGTGTTTAAAAGTACAATACTGGTAATCAAACACTAGTTTTATGGTATATTTAGACTTAAATACACTTTTATATGCAAAATAAAACTAACCCTGATAAAAGAATGCAATGAAAACGACTCACTCACCCTCATTGTGACGTGTTAAAAGTCGCACACTAGTTCGAGTCCTGTGGTTCTCTCAGATGGATTCTCATTGAGTAGCTCTCCAGAACTCACACTAACGCTGAGACAGATGAACAAATAAAGCCCCTAGTCCCTCCGCCTCCAACACACACACATACACTCTCTGGTCTGCTTTCTCAAAGTGTATGCCAGTAGGTACATAAAGCAACCGCACTACATCTGCGCCGGTGGCTGCTGATGAAGATATGAATCAATGTTCACAGAGGTTCACTGAAGTGGATGGCTTGTTTTATTAAAACAAACGCAGTCACAAGTTTAAACGGCATTCATTGAAACTCACTCAGGGGTCAGTGCTCACTAAACAACATGGTTCACGTGTGTGCTGGTCAGATATTCTCTGAGATGGACAAATACCGGTAGTGTGAAATTCACTATTCACTGCATGCTGAAACCCAGATGGAAAAATATAGACTGTTTCCACTGTACCGGTTTTTAGGATAACCGTTAAGCGCTTCATACTTAGATGACAGCAATGAACAGACGTAGCCCACTGTTTACACATATCCCGGGTATGCTATGAGTTTTTTGGTAAACGTGTGTCTTAAAGGCAAAGTTTTCACTCAGGTGTGTGTCCATTTGGGGAAAACGGCAAAGGTTACATTGACATCGCAAGCCAAAAGGACCTTTTAATGATCACCCTACATTGGCATGACGTGGAATAATATCATATTTTCTTATTGTATCAAATTATAAAAGCTTTAGAAAAGTTTCTTTCTAAAATCTCTCTCAATCATTGCTCTTCATTGTCTAATAACTTTTAGTATCACTTTATGCCATTGTTTAAAGCCAGTGTCAAAGTATATCAATAATAAACAAACAAACAAACAAACATTTTATACATTACACTTTTTTTGTGTAATCTTCATAAAGTGAAATTCTTAACTTATTTTAGAAGCAAATCAAGCCTCATATTACATCCAGGTAGACAGATGTAAAAAAAAACCTATTAATTCTGAAATTACTTCTTGACAGTTTGAATCAGATAGAAATACAGTATAATGTTTGAATTGAGGGTGATCCGAGATGATGGACCTCCCATAAGAACAAATATAATATATTCAGTTTCACTGAATTAAAGGAAGAAGAAGAAAAACATTGAGAATGTGAATAACTGCTGAATTAGTAACTGAATTAGCACTGTTAGGACTTAAAAATGTTTGATTCATGCAGTATACAAAAATATATATAATATATATAAATAAAAAATGGGCCACATTCAACTGTGGTGTGAACGTATCCAAAGTGAAATGGTATTTTACACAGATGCTTATTAACAACATCAGAACCCCAGACAAAAACTAAGAGATGTTTTTTGGTAGAAACATTCCAGCTCTCTCATTTTTGTGCATTCCAACCACACATCGGCCAATCAGAGCTCATGAGACATGGGCTTATGATCCCAGCTCTTACATTCCACTGTCTTCCCTCAGTCTGGAATGACACACAAACGTACAGCTCCTCAAATCCTTTGTCAAAGCCTCTCAAACCCCCTGCCATGTCGGAGCCTCTCCCCCTGCTCTTCTTGACCTTTTTCTGTCTCTAAATGTGTGACGGGGTCACAGTGGGTCCCACTTTTACTGCTGTGACGTGCCTGGATTGTTTGAATACCTTAAATCAGACAAGCTTCAAACGCTTCCGTTCTGGGTTTCCAAAACAAACATCCAAGAGATTTTAAAGCATGGTATTGTTATCTCCCAGAACATGCTTGCACAATGCATATTTTCCATTAAATAAAATTCATGCACAATAATAATAATAATATGCACAGATTAACTGTTCACAAAAAGATCTATAGCATGCATTTAGCAAATACATGGGTGAACTTTCATTCATGACAACTTTAACCTGGCATGTTGGTTTTTTAGAACAACAAAATGTGTATTTCTCCTTCAAAAAAGTCTTTCTCTTCCTTCTTTTCAAAGCTTGCCTGCAGAAAACCCACTATTTTCAAACACAGACTACAGACTAAACCAAGCACAGTAACATTCAGTAAACATCCTGGGACGCCATTTCTGTTACTGAAATATGTGATATTTCAAACAGCAAAAATAACAGTTCTTATTTAATATGTTTGGGGGGAAAAAACATCACAAACTAAGTCAACAAGATCAGATGTATCTGTTCGTGCTGCACTTCAACATGATGAGAACCTTTTGAGGAAAACAGCTTACATTTTTGGAATATAGAAAAAAAAGTCAAGGCGTACGCAGCTGTGAAACATGGGGACCTTGCTTCACCCTCAAAATGAAGCATCCAGAGTCCCAGAAAAATGCATTTGAAGAGTTTTTACATTAGTCCTTAGCTCATTGATAACTCCATGAATAAACGCACAGTATTTGAGAAACTAAATAAGGTTGTGAGGAAATGTCATATAGCCTCAGAGCGTAAACACACCATGAACTTGGTTCTCAGATCAGACAGAAGCTGTTAAAAGCTATTTTCCTAGACTAAAACAGCTATGCATGAGCAACCAGTCTGCTTTTTCTTCATCAGGCCTGAGATAAACCATAAAAAAATTCTAAATTAGTAATCTTATTTAAAATTTTAGTCTTGAAGGAACAACTCATCCAAAGATGAAATTTCTGTCATTATGTGCTGTCTCTTGTGTTTCTGAAATTACACTGAAAGGTCTATTTATGCTCTAATAGGCTAAGGTAAACTCTTGAGTATTTTACTCTACTATTGTACAGAATAGTGGCCTATAATTGACATGAGCGATGGATTATGCTCTGTGAAAACAGGAGACTCTCTAAGGGCCTTTAGATACCTGGTAAAAGAAAAAGCCATAAATAGTGGTTTATATATATTAGACCTTAACTGTTCTGTACAAATGCATTAAAAAGGTGAGGATATAGAGCAGCCTTATCAGTTTGACTCTGTGTCGCTTCATGGCCAAGCTTAGATCATCGAGATGCAGAAGACAGAACTAACCGTCTCTTGTGTGAATCCCCTGGCACGCTTTTGAACAGTTAAGATCACTGCCAGCTCTTATCTGAAACACCGTTGCGGAGGGAGAGGAGGGTCTCTGCACAAGGAGCCAAGAATAATTTGAATTTTTATCTTAATTATATGCATGATATTAATAAAAAATCCTCTGTCCAGAAAGCATGGCCAATACTCGTGGTGCACAAGGTCATAAACACAAGGACAAAACACCAGGATAACACATGACACTTAAATAATGCAATAAATACGAAATATTATTAAAATAAATCAAATAATCAGTAAATCGGTATATGATAAGACTTAAGGGGGTCGCACACCGGACGAGAAGCACAGAATATCGGCAGGTATCGGCCTGCCGATATATCGGTCTGGCTCCAATACTTGCACTACTAATAAAGTCACAAGTCTGTATTAATCTAAATCATGGGAACACAAGCACTAAAGGTGATGGACAGTATAGGATAAAAACATCTAACCAAAACAAAACGCTTCATGAAAGCATCAAACTCCAGAATCAATGGCTGTGTCTTTTAGGATTACATGATCACCTGCACAGATGTCGAGCAGATCATTCTGGGAATCCTTTAACATCGCTTTATATAACAAAATGTGCTGTTGCTAAGAGCACTCAGAGTTGTTCTTCACTGTCTTAATTACAAGAGCCGGGTCAGAATGAGTAAAGACTGCCACTGACCCAGATAATCAGCACCACAGAAAGTCAGTTAACTGTCTCTTTTACCCAAATTCTCTCTCTCTCTCGTCCGTCCCAGAGCATATAACTCACTACACTGAACTGCAAGAGCACAGGAAGCAAACGCATTAAACCATCTACAAAATGCTCCGAAGGGAGCTCATATGCGTCTTGCTGTGTCAGAGGATACTGCTTTTATCTTCATTGAAAAGATTCTAATTGCACTTTACTGGATCATAACGCAGTTGCATGTCGGGTTAACGCACCACAATAGATACTTCTTGTCTCTTCCTCCCTGTCTATCAGCTACAAACACTGATGCTTTTGCATAATGTGTCCAGTGAAAGTTGATATATTTAGTGTGTTAATCCATGAGAGCAATGGGACAGATGCTTGACATACATATGTCCCTTGTGTCTCCTGTGCAGTTGACCCGTGTCTGCCCTCTTAACATTGTGGAGGTAGTTATGTCTTCATAGAAGAACAGCTTACAATCAATCTGTCATCATCTCTCATGAACCTACAATCTTCCACTTCATTTAAAGGGGTTATGTCATAAAGCTTTTTTTCTGTGTGTGTGTGTGTGTGTGTGTGTATGTAATTAAAATATATCAGCAAGGATAACACAAATAAAAAACTAATAAATAATCCTGATAATATAATTAATGCTGTCAAGTGGATTAATCACATCTAACGTAAAAGTTTGTGTTTAATAAATGTGTGTACATACAGTATCTATCTATCTATCTATCTATCTATCTATCTATCTATCTATCTTGTGTTTAATAAATGTGTGTACATACAGTATCTATCTATCTATCTATAAACACTCACACATACACAGACATACTGTGTATATTTAATAAACATTTAATATATATGCACATTACATACATATACAGTATATATATATATATATATACACATAGATATACAGTATATAGGCCTATATATATATATATATATATACACACACACACACACACACACACACACACACACACACTAACACAATATGCAAACAAACTTGTTAGATGTGATTAATCAATAAAGGCGCTAAATATATTGTATTATATTATTTTATAATAGATATAAAATACTAAATATAATATAAAAAAAAACTCTTTCATCATTTGTCCACTTTAAAAAAAACCATCCGAGTCTCCGTAAATAAACTTCTCACTAAAACAGTACGCATCCTCACTGACACTTCTGCTTTCACTGTGCAGCAAATGTCAGTTTTATAGAGTAATGGAAATGTTATGTCATTGTGGGAGCTCTCAGTCCAAAAAAAAAACCCAAAGAGGTCATCTTTAGCAGAGCTGGCATCAGTTTGGCACTCAAGCTGACTGACAGAAAAGTCTTCCAGTGACTGACACCATATGCCAAGTGTGTGTGTGCCAAGGCTGTATCTAAGGTAACCATGTGTGCCTCTGGAGCCTTGTGGCAGTTTAGGGATGATAAATTATGCACTCCAGACCGAACTGGCTCACATTCACTCAGCTGTACATGCAAAAAGAAAATGAAGAAAAATGATTACACTCACATACTTACAAACACTATTTAGTTTTGAGTAGGTATCGGCAAAGTTTTTTTTTTCCGATACCGTTGCCAAATCTACACTTTTAAAACTGTACTGGTGCCTAAACGGTGCCTGAACCGATACGATAACGTCATTAAAGAACGGATTTTTTATTGAAAAAAATTTAAAACTCTTAAAATTGAACAATATATTACAATTTTAAAGTATACTTAAATATATTTAAACAACAAATATATTAAACAATAAATAAATACACAACAAATTCACAATAAAAACTAAGCCATCTAACCCAACTACAATCATTTAACACTAAAAAACAGTTATAGTACTAATAACAGCTAAGTAGTCTGAGACGTCCTTGGAAAAAAAAACCCCAAACAATTTAGATGCTCTTAGTTTGCTAAGTGGTGTCCTTCATAGACCTCATTGACAGCATACTTATACTGAACATTAATAAAAAAAAATAAAAAATAAAAGCCTACTGACAATAAGTATTTAAGAAAACCCTTTTTTTGCTGTTTAATTGCATCTGACTTTGTGATAACTAAGTGTAATATGCATCTTTTTGTAATTTGGAACTAATAAACATTTTCAGCCTAAAGAAAAAAAATATAATAGATTTTGGATGAATTAAAACTTCAATTTCAGTTTTGGTACTACTCAAAAATGTTATAGTAAATACCTAACTTTACACCCCTGCCCTACTCCTAAAAACCAATCCGTTAGCATTAAAATGTATTACTTAGCTAGTTGTGGGACCCCTCGGAAGTATCTGATTTGAAATCTGCCACCCTTACTCATGGAGCCTAGGATTTAGCCAGCATACTGCAGTCAACACCACTGTCTCCTTCCTGATTCCTGCAGTGAACATGCTTTCTGTGCCGTGCCATGCTACGTGATGTTTTGCCACAGTCCTGGCCTCTCTTCTGTATGACAGTCAGCTGCCAAAAGAAAAAATCAAAACCCAATGCAACTCTCCCTGGAGCACATTTCTGCTTGTCATGCTAGGTAGTCTCCCGCTCCTTCTCGACAAGAGCCACTGGGCAGGCAAATGAGCTCAACGTGGCTGATTCGCAAGTCAGATGCATCACACTCTGATGTTTTTTATTGAAATGCAAACTGCTGTATAGATAAATAACCGTCTAAACAGATGAGGGCTGTTTGTTAATGGACCACAGAAGCCACCAGATCACGTCAAAATCTCTAGTGAAAGTCAATTCACAATACAGATGGTTCAGATAATGAGTGATGTAATGGCCGACAGTCAAACAGTTACTAAAAAAAACTCAATAGAACGTCAGATCTTACTTCACCAAGCAAACATTCTTTTCTACAGTATATACACTCAGCAAATTGCAAATATTTTAGAACAAGGTCTGTATCAAAGGTCATTTTGTACTGAACCTTTCTGAAGAAACACATTTTTGGAGGATGAGGTCATTGGCATGTTGAGCTCATTTGTTTTAGCTCATTCTCTCTGCATTTATTCCAGCACATTTAATCGGTAAAAAAGCCAAATAAAGTGTACTAAGTGCATCTTTCTATAACTGCACATGCTTAGCAAATAACATACTACAGATACTCTCTGTTGTCAGTATTGAAGCATAACTTGTACGCTCAATTAGATCACCTCCTTTTCTGAGAGAAATAAACAGCCACAATG